GGACAAACAAGCAAATATCGGGACAGTCTCGATAAAATCGGGACGTCTGGTCACCCTGAGAGTAGGGGTGTTTTTAAAATGTGTCCACTGACATATTTTGATTAACATTCTTAAATACCTCTCAGCACCAAGTGTAGACTGGGTTTAACATTTTTAAAAATGTTTTAGCTGGTCATGATGAACCCAGCCAACACATTTTTGAAGGTATTAAACCCTGGCTACCCTAGGTGCCAAGTTTTGTTTAATAATATGTTAGCTAACATGTTTAAAAACATACCTCTCTCCCTAGCCTAGACCTGCCCTTAGTTTTCACTCATATTTCATCAGGCAGATTCCCATCGATTTCAATTGGAGTTTACATGAGTAAGGACTGAGTGAAAACTTAGGCCAAATTCTGAGATCTTTGCTAATTAAATAAGTGGAAACAAAATTAAAATGTCAAACTTATGTAAATTTCTAATCTCTAACATACTTTTAAAAAAATAGTGATGGATGATACTCTTAGTTCAAGATGCAGCCTTTTAATCAGTGAGCTATAAATTAGTCTCTTGAAAATGCTTTTGGTGTGCAGTACATTTTTAAAAAATAATAATACTGTAGGTACTTTTAGTAAGTCAGGCTAATTGATATATGAAACTTCCTTCCATTGTTCACATGCATTAGCCAAAATTGTGTTATGGATGAAAATTAGATCTGTATAAATAATTTACCAAAGCAGAATAGTAAAGAGGGCTGTTCAAATGTCAAGGAACATGGATGGAATTCCTGAGTTCTAACCCTGGTTCTTCCACTGATTCACTATGACCACGGACAGATGACAACTAGGGCTGTCAAGCGATTAAAAAAATTAATCGTGATTAAAATATAATCGCAATTAATCGTGCTGTTAAACAATAATAGAATGCTATTTATATAAATATTTTTGTATGTTTTCCACATTTTCAAATATATTGATTTCAATTACAACAGAGAATATAAAGTGTTCAGTGCTCACTTTATATTTATTTTTTATTTGATTTATTTTGCACTGTAAAAATAAAATAAATAGCATTTTTCAATTCACTTAATACAAGTACTGTAGTGCAATCTCTTTATCATGAAAGTTGAACTTACAAATGTAGAATTATGTATATAAAAACTGCATTCAAAAATAAAACAATGTAAAACTTTACAGCCTACAAGTCCATTTAGTCCTACTTCTTGTTCAGCCAATAGCTCAGACAAACAAGTTTGTTTACATTTGCAGGAGATAAGGCCGCCAGCTTCTTGTTTACAATGTCACCTGAAAGTGAGAACAGGCGTTCACATGGCATTGTTGTAGCCGGCGTTGCAAGATATTTACGTGTCAGATGCGCTAAAGATTCATTTGTCCTTCATGCTTCAACCACCATTCCGGAGGACATGAGCCTATACTGATGATGGGTTCTGCTCAATAACGATCCAAAGCAGTGCATGTTCATTTTCATCATCTGAGTCAGATGCCACCAGCAGAAGATTGATTTTCTTTTTTTAGTGGTTCGGGTTCCGTAGTTTCCGCATCAGAGTGTTGCTCTTTTAAGACTTCTGAAAGCATGCTCCACATCTCATCCCTCTCAGATTTTCGAAGGCACTTCAGATTCTTAAATCTTGGGTTGAGTGCTGTAGCTATCTTTGGAAATCTCACATTGGTACCTTCTTTACTTTTGTCAAATCTGCAGTGAAAGTGTTCTTAAAACAAACATCATGCTGGGTCATCATCCAAGACTGCTATAACATGGAATATATGGCAGAATGCAGGTAGAACAGAGCAGGAGACATACTATTCTCCCCCAAAGAGTTCAGTCACAAATTTAATTAACACATTATTTTTTTAATGAGCATCATGAACATGGAAGCATGTCCTCTGGAATGGTGTCCAAAGCATGAAGGGACATACGAATGTTTAGTATATCTGGCACGTAAATACCTTGCAATGATGGCTACAAAAGTGCCATGCGAAGGTCTGTTCTCACTTTCAGGTGACATTGTAAATAAGAAGTGGGCAGCATTATCTCCCGTAAACGTAAACAAACTTGTTTCTCTTAATGATTGGCTGAACAAAAAGTAGGACTGAGTGGACTTATAGGTGCTAAAGTTTTACATGTTTTGTTTTTGAGTGCAGTTATGTAACAAAAAAAATCTATATTTGTAAGTTGTGCTTTCACGATAAAGAGATTGCACTACAGTACTTGTCTGAGGTGAATTGGAAAATACTATTTCTTTTGTTTAGCATTTTTACAGTGCAAATATTTGTAATCAAAAACAGTAATATAAAGTGAGCACTGTACACTTTGTATTCTGTGTTGTAACTGTTTTCAATATATTTGAAAATGTAGAAAAACATCTAAAATATTTAATAAATTTCAATTGATATTCTATTTAACAGTGCGATTAAAACTGCGATTAATTTTGATTAACTTTTTAAATCACTATTAATTGTTTTGAGTTAATCGTGTGAGTTAACTGGGATTAATCGACAGCCCTAATCACAACCTCTCTCTCATTTTTCACCCATCCATAAAATTGCGATGACACTATGGACCCAATCCAACGCCTACTGAGGTCAATGGGAAGACTCCCACTGACTTCAGTGGACATTGATCAGACCCTTGGTTACTGACCTCACAAGATAGCTGAGAGGATTAATTAATTAGGCTCAGATGTTGCTTTTATGTTTGTGGAGCAGATATCAAGGAAAAGGTGTAATCCTGGTACACTATTTGCCTTTGGGATGTGAAAGATAGGATTTGCCAATTAACTAAACCAGGAGCTAAACCATTTTATGACTAAAAATAATGAAATTAGAACATTATGAGGTAGTGGTGTGGTAGTTTTCAAAGATGATTTCAAATTCTTTTATTCTGCAGGGACAAATCTTGGTGAATGGTAAAGAAACAGAAGAAACAGATATTGTTGCCAAAAATGGTCGAATATACACTCTTGCAGGTGTTCTTATTCCTCCCTCAATTGTTCCTATTCTACCACACAGATGTGATGGGGGAAGGAGTGAAATTAAAATGGTAAGGAAAGCCAGTACAACAAGGTTTCAGACAGTAGCCACTAAGTACTCCATGCATGGTACCTTAATCTCCTCTTTATTGCAACATCAGAGAAATCAGCAAAAAGTATGGTAACATTTTGGATAGGATACACAGCCCTGCAGACAGCCCAGTATGTAAACAGGTCAATTGCGAGCTAGAACCTCGGGTGAGCACATCCCGTCCCATCCCAAGTTCTCATCCAGTTTCTATAGCGACCCTTTAAAATTAGTTATCTTTCCAGTCAAACAATCTGCCTCCCAGAGTTCCACTTGTCCTTATACCAGTATGTAGCCACTTCTAGTTCCCATGGTAACTATTTAAGATCAATCATTTTCTTTTTATGATGCATGAAGAAAAGACAGTTAAATAAATACAACATATGGACTTGTCCATGCTCCATTTTGCACCTTATTTCTTCAGATTAGGAAGCAAAAACTACTGCATATTTCGAATAATTGAGTTCCCCACAGCATACTCAATTTGAGTAGCACGTTATAGGGCTTGTACACTTGGTAGCAGTGACAGTCTGGTAAGGAGCAGAATAACTGTCAGGCAAGGTTTTTTGTCTGCTATAGGGGTTGCTCTGATCATCTATTCTTGGATCACGCTCAAGTACATATCTGGGCCAAAGACATTTCTGACACAGTGATATAATATGGCAAAACAATTACAGTCTTCACTTACAACAATCCAAAACCACAACTCTGAAGCAAAACCTCAGCTGAACTGGACAGCATCCATTCATAATGAAATGAAATGAAAGAGGTGATGATAAAGAGCCATTAACCGTGGTAATAACAACTAAGTGCCATGTGTGCAGTATAATCATAAACCGGGCACAACACCACACAACAGTTCCTGGCATGGAAATTGAACAGCACCTAAAATACATTAGCATTTCAAATTCCTTAAACAAAACCTTTTCACCTGAGTAGGATTCATTTCACGCATTGATTAACAAACATTGCAACAATGAGAGGTCATTTAAAGGCGGGGATCTACGTGACTAAGTTTTCTGTCTTTAAAACAAAAGTAACCAAAAATAAAGCTACTGACCTTTTGTTACATCTGATATTTGCCTTCTGGACTGGGTATCAGAATACCTGGTTTCTGTACTCGGGTCTACCATGGACTTGTGAAACTTCATCTCTCTATACCTCAGCTTCTCTATCTGGGAAATGAGAATAATACTTTGTAAGGTGCTTTGAAATGTATGGATGAAAAGCAATGTGATGTAGATGTATTATTATATTAATGAGAACTCACAATCATAGGCAGCAACAAAACATGTGCATCCCTAGGGTCCTGATAATAGCTAACATTAGAACTGAGCAAATGTTTCACTTCAGAGGCCAAACAGAAAAATGAAAATAAAATAAAAAGGTTGTTTTGGGTCAAACAATATGAAGTTTTTTAACCTTTTTCTGAAATAAAATCAGGTCAAATTCAAAATGAAAAGTCATTTTGAATCAAAAAATCAAAACGCTTAATTTAAAAAATATCGACATGAAATGTTTACACATTTCTGTTTGTTTGTTTCCCTGCCTGAAACAATTTGCCAAATTTGACGTGAATTCCTGAAATGTTTGGGTCAACCCGAATCTGCATTTTCAAAAAAATAATTTTTGCCCAGCTCTAGAACCACATCAGGATTCACACTTGGTTATTTGAATATTTTGAAGCCTGGAATACTTACCCACAGTGACATTCCAGTGCTATTTCAGTCACTATCTGGCTTACTTTAATACCATGAGAGCCAAAATGAACCATGGAACTGTTCTTTCATGAATTTCAGGAAGCGTGTAGGTTGTGCAAATTAACAGCACTGTCAGCATCAAGGGAGGCCACGTAAGCCAAGTCTGGACTTGTAACATAGACAAAGCCCTATCCAGGAAAGTGAGCAAATAGGTGACTTGTGTGACATTGAATAGTGGAAATATTGGTACCATTAGAAAGAACTATGTGTTCTAAATAACTATGGGCCAGATTTACAAAGGTAAGGGGTTAGTGGAATTTACAAAAGTTCCTAAGCAGATAAGGTGCCTAACTCCCATTGATTTTCAATGTGAATTGGGTATCTAAATCACTTAGAATCTTTTAAAAATCACACTAGACACTTATCTGCATCCTAAATACCTTTGTAAATCTGGTCCTATGTTCCTATGTGTGTTGTATAACATTGGAGATGTGGAAATCCAAACCATGGAACATTTTAAGGCTTGATTCTCAATTCTTTCACAAATAAAATGTCCACTGTCTCCCATGAGAAGTCTGTGGACATAATTACTGTAGATCAGGATCTTAAACATTATGGAAAACATGAAACATCTTGGACCTTCACTCAGAGATTATTTCTAATTTCTTTCTGAGACTGGGGGTAACATCGTCAGTCATGAATAGTCTAACTCAAGTGGGAACCAGGAAACCCTTTTCAAGCCTTGACAAACTCTATATCCTCACTATCGAATACTTATTAAAGCTGGGTGAAAATTTTCAGACAAACTTTTTCAACAAAAATTGCAGATTCAGTGTCAACTGAAACATCTGGTGAATTTGTGTAAAAATGTACCAAGTTATTTTGGTTTAAAAAAATAATAATTCTGAAAAAATAGACACATTTCTACATTTTCCAAAAAAGTTTCAATTTTTCAATTTGAAATAACCTTTTGTTTTGAATTTTACTTAATTTTAATTTTGAAAAGGTAAGAAACCCTCGAAAACAAAATATTTTGTTCAACCCAAAACAACATTTTTTAGACTTTCTAGTTCAACAAAAAAATTTTACAATTGTTTTAGGTCACCCAAAAATGTTTATTATGAATTATAATTATTATTTTGGTTTGTCAGCAAACCAAAAACTCAGTTATTCACACAGCTCCCATCATTATTAGATGTTGAGTTTTTAGGACTCAACATCTTGAAACCTGCCAGTTGATTCTAAATCGTCTCACTACTGTAGCTGTTAGTCTCAGTCATTGCCAGGCAATGCTAAACTAACCATTTGTGACAATGAGCTAAAAGGTGATAAGAAAAGAGTGATGATCAAAGCTGGATTATGGCTCAATGTAAGATTTATGATATGGATACAGAGAGAACATTTTTTCTCTTCAGACTGGATATGCATGAGATAGATCTCAAGTAGGTTTGCTAAGGTTGTCTTCCTATGAATTACATAAAACATCTCATAAATATTGAAATATACAAATTAGGCCAGATCCTCAGCTGGACTAAGTCGGCGTTGGCTTCAATGAGTTATGCAGATCCACACTGGTTGAGAACCTGCCCCATTATGTGTGTGTGAATTTGCTGAAACAGTAACTCCCCACTCCAGTTTAGGGAGGTGCCAGTTCTCCAAGAGAAAGTGGTCAGGAAAGAAAGGAATGGGGAAAGGGCAAAAAGATGGAGAAAGGAGGCAGGGGGAAGGATGAAAAGATAAAAATTAATGTTCATTAGAGATCTGATGAGGGAGGATTCACAGTTCTGGTGCTGTTACTGAGTTCTGTGATTCATGACATAACTGAATTAAGTTTATCAGATGTCGCTATAGCCTTCCTAAAATGTGACTATTGTCCTGTCTCCATTCAGGGTACCTGTGTAAAATGTTCAGTATTCTACAGGAGCACTTGTCCAGAAGACTCAAAGCCCATAGTAAGTGACCTTCCTATACAGATATTGCCAAACAGGCTATAATATTGTTTAAACTTAAATTCAATTTTCTGCATTGATTTCCCCAGTACAAACAATAACTGATTTCTTCTACTCAGTATTTTGGGAAATCAGTAATATTCAGCTTACTAGGGCTTTATGGGAGTTAGCTGTCTCAGAGTTTTGTACTAATACTTGTCACAGCAGTACTTGGGCAACTCCCATGTTATTTAAATTGGTATAGCAAAGGCCCTAGGAGATTTCATGGAGTCTCCCACTCTTCTATCCTGGGTATCGGAACCTCTGCTTGGGGTAGCATTCTGTGTAGCATTGTTTTTGTTTTGTCTTTTAGAGGCGGGAAGGAGTAAGGGAGGACAGTTGCTATAGACTCTGCTTTGAGAATTTGTATGTGAAAAATACAGGAGGGTTAAGACTACACTAGACCCAGACCTGTTAAAACTTTCCTCTCAGTCACAAAAATAACGCTTTGTTTCTCTCCAAAGAATTAATACCATGTGCGATACATGCAATCACAAACAGTCCTAGCCTGTGCTGCCCCCTACCCTTCACTTGTCCATGTCACAACATGACCTGAGAGGTTGGGGGTTGGGTGGGAAGGGTGCACCAAGGAACTGAGGCTCCAGCCAGTACTAGGAGCAGAAGGACCCAAAGCAGGAACTACAGCCCTAGGGGGAAGGGGGTAAAATGAGGCCCAGCAATCTCCTGGACCCAGAACTGTACAGAGCAGACACGTACACACACTATGGGGGCACTAGGACCAATGTGGTACTTCCCTTCTTATCAGAGACTCCAGTTAGTAGGGGCAGAAGGCACCAAGGCGGTGTCCTATGGACACTCAGAGAACTTTCTAATTCTGACTGGATGTTCTCTACCTTATGATGATTGGCTGTTTGCTCCAATCCTCTTCCTTCATCAGTCTCTCCACCTCAGCTTCAGTCCACACCTGCCTCTCTTGGCCTCTTCTCCCCAGCCCTGTCCCTCTCATCCCTCTTCCCTTCCCATTTAGCTGATCCCCTCCAAAGTAAACCCATCCCCCCGCCAAAAAAAAACCAATCAAGGAACTAACATGACATTTTCTGGCATCATATTGTTCACCCTGTGCTCTACCCCTTCCCCCACTTGATGTCTGTCTTGTCAAATTAGACTGAAAACTCTTTGGGGCAGGGATCTTCTATTATTGTGTGTTTGTACAGTGCCTAGCACAATGAGATCCCTCTCTTGGTTGGCCCTTAGACACTGTTATAATAAACATGATTATTACTATTATCAATAATATTAATAATAATAAATGTACACATGCTTTGGAACCAGTAGAAAGCCTTCATCTGTTTTGTCTTTAAAAGCAGTAATCGTCATTTATGGTGGTGTATTTTTCCATATACAAAAACTCACATATTGCTGTCAAGAGATTTTGTTGTCCATAGATCAGAATTCACTTGTATTGAATACTCTATCCCATGTACAATATAGTAAAGATCTAACCACAGATAAAAAAATCAGGAAGCTACACATTATAGTAAAACTAAAAATATCCTTTTAAGTATCAATAGAAAAAAATAAAAAACAGTGTAATGATATTTCCTGTTCTTCAATTAAATCGTTCCCTAACATTCTGATTGTAGTGCAGTATTGAATATCTACCTGGAAATATGTTTATGATTTATTTATGTTCTAGACTTCTTCAGGGCGTAGATGTGTTTATGAAGCCCTGTCCTATCCAACAACCGGCTGTGCTAGGTACTGCAATGTAACAATAAAGGTAAGAAATTGTACAGGTATCATATAGAAATCAGCCAAAATATTGCTGTTGGACTTTGCTAATTTTACTTTTGGATGTGTGCAGCATCTAGAGGTCCCCTTATCATAGTTCTTTGAGCAAGAGTACCAACCAGAGACACTTAGCTTCTCTGCTATACTACCCTTTGTACTCCCTGAAATAGCTCCTCTCCATTCTTCATGTTTACCTCAGCTCTTCTGGTGAGGCTTTGTAGCTGCCACACATTTCTGTTTAGAACTTTCTTATATTATATAACTCAGCTTTTCTTTCTTTTTAATCTCAACACCTCCCAAACACTTTTCATTGATTCGTATGGCTGCCTTTATGAAGGACTGCACAGTTTGACAATTAGCAACACTAGTCGGATACATTAGTCTTCCAAGACTTCATGTGCTGCTCAGTGGCAATGAGCAGTCAAATGCTTGCAAGGATTTTACTACATTTTGCCTCCTGTGGTATGTCTAATCCTTACAAAAATTGTCAATCACAACCCAGTACCGTTAATTTTCCACATTCCTTTTTCCTGTTCTTCTAATTAGGTTTCTGGGTTTCATGATACATATTAGGTGCAAAAGGTCTGCAAATCTCTAAGACAAGAGAGGCCTTTGGACCCATGCTTCCCTATGAATTAGCCAGTTCCCATGCTTTTATATTCATGAATCTGCATAGCAGCCCAATTCCTGAATAAAAATGTTGATACAGGAAATAATTATTTAGGGCTAGATTATAGCTAGACCAGATCTGGATGCACATCTGTGGGCGAAGCAGTTGAAGAGGAAGTGAGGCAACTACTCCTATGTATGGCCCACCTGTAGGCTGAGGAGAATTGCAGTCCTTGATCTCAGGTGTGCAGGCACTGCCCTTTTGAGTGCGCCGCACCCCAGGGCCTCAGACAGTTGTCTGTGTCACAGCGCCTTCTCCACATGGCCATAAAGCTTAGAGGAGTATAGCAGTTTGTGCAGTCCATCACACACTAAGAAGCTTTGGGAGACAGGTTGCAGCTAACGCTTTGTCAACCACAGTTCAAGGCTGTGCTGAAATGGCACCATCTAGCCCTGAATGATTGGTCCATCCCTCAAGTCTTCAGATGGAGGAAGAACGTGTTACTTTACATGCCATGCAGCAGTATGTGCTTTACTTCACAGGAACCTAAGTGTTGCAAAGGCTTCTATGGGCCAGAGTGCAATCAGTGTCCAGGAGGATTTTCCAAACCCTGCTCAGGAAATGGACAGGTAAATGGAGCAACCAGCAGCACATTGCACTTCTATGTAGGGGTAGAGACAGGCTGGGCTGGGGAGTCTCCAGACTCCCTTGATCCTTTAGCACATAACAAATGTGAAAAATATTGCAAGAGGTTCACACTCTGCTAGTCTATGTTGGCAATCTGGCAGTCAGACACTGATATAGGAGGGGAAAGATGGTGGAACCCTCCAGTTGACTAAAGCATCCAATTCTGTGGTTTTAATACACTGTATTGGGCATGGTTGGGATTTTAAGTGACCCACTCTGGGGCCCAGGGTTGTCTGAGGCAAAAATAAAAACAACAACAGAATAATAATTTTAAAGTTACAATTGAGAAGGAGAATGGAATTATGGGCATATGGGAACAGGGAAGAAACACAAGCTGGGGGGAAGTTTCCACTAGAAAAAAAATATTTATCATTAGGTTGAGATTCTTCTTACATTTAAAGAGGGCGCTGCTATAATCATGGTATAGACTGGCCTAAGTTATACAACTTTTCCCCCAGGGAGTAACAAAAAAGGATTATTTTAACATTCCTGTATAAATCCTATATCTTCTATGTTGCAGTGTGTGGATGGAATGAAAGGAAATGGAACTTGTATTTGTACTCATGGATTTCAAGGATCCCATTGTCAGTTCTGTTCAGACCCTGATAAATATGGTACTCAGTGTGACAAAAGTAAGCATAGCTGCTCCCTCCTCCACTGTGCATAACCTGTTGTCTTCTAAAACGTTATTTGTACTACAATCAGTGCTAACTGATAGTGGTATACTCTCTGTAGAAGGCCTTTGGGGTGGGCTAATTTCATATGGTTTCCAACAAAGGGCCTAATCCACAGCCTGTTGAAGTCAATGGAAAGGCTTCCATTGACTTTACTGGGCTTTGGATCAGACTCAGACTGCCTTATGTTAATTGCTTTTTTTCATGTCTGCCTTCCTTGCGTGATTATCTAAACAGATAATATCTTCCTCCTCAACATTTATTTCTATTCTGGAATTGTTCACAAATGTAATAGCAGCTGTCTACAGACCTATGAAGACACAGTCACTGTCTTGAAAAAAAATCCACAATCTGAAAATATTTAAGATTATGTAGGAATCAGATTCAGATCCATTTAAACACCATTCTTACTAGATAACTATGGAGTCTATTAGTGTAGGGCCCAGAGTAAAAAGAAAAGTGGCATATGGTAATATTTTTTTCCACTGTAGGATTCAATATTGTTATATGTGCTGTAAAGTGAGAGACAATAGACTAAATAAAATGAAATATAGACACAGAGTGAATATCTGTATAAGTTACATAATTATCCATAGCTTTTTGACTATGAACCAGTCTATCGTACGCAAAAAGCACTTTCCCCTAAGGCTCGGGCTATGTCTACACCAGGATAAAAAACACGCAGCTGTTCCATGACAGTTGGCTCGGGCTCGGGCTCGGGAGCTAAAACTTATTGTGTAGATGTTCAGGCTAGGGCTGGAGCTCAAGCTCTGGGATGCTCCACTCATGCAGGATTCCAGAGCCCGGGCCCCAGCCCTAAGCTGAACATCTACACAGCAATTTTTAGCCACGCAGCCTGAGCCCTGCAAGCCTGAATCAGCTGACCCGGACCAGCTGTGAGGTTTTTATCTGTGCGTAACCATAGCCTAAGAGCCCACTGGCCTTCCATAAGAGATGCAAGGTCAGAGGCTGAAACACAGATACTTTAAAAAAAATAGAATATTAAGATCTTTTTGAGCCTTGATCCTGCAAATTCATCCACATTTGCTTATCTTTTGGCACTCTGAGTAGTTCTGTGACTTCAACAGAACTGCTCATAGGGCATAAAGTTAAGCACGTGAGTAAATTCTTGCAGGATCAGGGCCTTGGTTTGTAAAAGTTTAGTGATTTTGTTTGATCTGTTTATATGTAATCATTTTAGTTTTTTCAATCCAATTATGTTGTGTGCCTGCTTCACCAGCTTCTATAGATAACTTTAAATTCCAATGGCAGACAGGTGTGCTATAAAAAATATGAAGAATATTATTACAGGTGTTTAGATTTTAGAAAGAACTAATCTGAAATATTTAAGAAATGGCATATAGGGACAATTGTTTAATTTCACATTTTATTTTCCCCCCTACAGAATGTCTGTGTGTTTACGGGAAGTGTGATAACAGGATAGATAGTGATGGCATCTGCCTTGGCGGATCATGCAAAAGTGGATATGCTGGGAAACTCTGTGATAAGCAGATAGTTCCGTGTGGGCCTTTTGTGCAATTCTGTCATGCACATGCAAATTGTCAGCTTAGTAATGGTGCCATGAGGTAGGTCAGTTACTTATATCTAACTAATATTAGGTGTGCTATAACACTTTCAGAATCAAACTACAGGATTGGCGTTTTCTGTTTCAAGATAACACTTCACACTATTGTATAAACATTAATCTTTATATTAATACTATGAGGTGGTATGTGCACATTCCTTTCATTTTATAGGGGGAGAAACGGAGGCAGAAAAGTGAAGGGACCTACCCAAAGCAATGCAGTGAGTCAATTGCAGAGCAGGGATTAGATCTCAGCGGTTTGATTCCCAGTTCTGTGCTCATTTCCACACATTATACACAGCTTTTTCAGATCTTAAGATCAATATGTTTGAGCTTGTAAAATTGCAGAAGTAAGAGGGTAACAGTCAAAAGTGTCAAAGTAATTTAGGAACCTAGGTTTCATTTTCAAAAGTGCCTAAATATCTTAGGAGCCTAAATTCATTAACTTGCAATGAGACAAGCTAAATACTTAAGTCACTTTTGAAAATGGGACTTCAGTGCTTTTGAAAATTTTGGGCAGTGTGCTTTTCTGATGTTCACCCTTAGCCATTTATGTACTTGAAATGACGTGGTAGCTTCCATAAAGCCAAAGCTAATAATTTTAAGCAGCCTGTAATTTAGACAATGTGCTAAAGGAAAAAATAGTATCAAAAATCAATTCAGTTTAATTTTACACGTGTCCTATCATGCAAAGTGATTTAATCAAACCTTGTTTTTATAGCTGCATCTGCAAACCTGGATATGAGGGAGATGGAACAACCTGCAGTGAAGTAGATCCTTGTGCTAGTTTAGCTCAAGGTGGTTGCGATACCAATGTAAGTATACAATTTCTTACAGAATGATTTGCTTAGTTTAAAGGAAATCTGAAGAAAGCCTAGGAATACAAGTAAGAAATATTTGCATATATAAATTCTGAATTCCCAACCAAATTCAAATCCTTCCCATAGTGAAAAATCTTGCCCTTACAGTTGTTTTGCTATGAAAATTGCTATGACTTATATAGTCATTATGCCCAAAGATGGATGCCACACAGCTTTTTTAGAGCATCCTGTGACATTCTTAATGTAACCCAAAGTAAAATCTTCCTTCAAAGCAGTAGAACCATGGATTGAAATCTCTCTACTCCTCTATGCCCTCCCATTCCACAGTGACGCTAATGCTATGGCAATGAGGGACCTTTTTCCTCTTTAGAGATGGCAGACCAAGATCTACTACAAGGAAGCCCATAACTAGTTCAAGGGATTAAGTAATGGATTTTAAAATTATTTTCAATGTTTAAATTGTAAGATCAAATTCAGTCAAGTTATTAGTGACCTAAAGTTATTTATTATCATCTGATGACTGTTTGGAATCTTATGTGAAATAAGTTGCTAGTTGCATTATAGTCAGCAGTGCAGAGGTATCCACATAATAACACCCACAGTGGCTGGCATTAATTGGCATCTTTGCTGATTGAATCGGTTGAGAGGTCAAAGATCTGATTCAGTCAACAGAGACCTTCACACCTCCTAAAGGTGGTCCCTCCACCCCTCCAAGTCAGGTGAGACACTCTGACACGGCATTGCGGCGGAACCTTTCACTGCCCACCACTGCCTCCTGTGGACAAAGGGGAACGTCAAGCTCCCGGGCTGTAAGTCTAGCACTATTCACCAGCACTAAAAAAAAAAAAATTCCATGAAAATATTAAAGGGGAAAAAATAGAGTTTGGTTCTCTAGTGTCATAGCCAAAGATTCCATCTCCTTTCCAGCATGTCCTTTTCTGAGCTGTCCATTTTAAGATGGTGGTTGGTGTCCATTAAACTTGTTTACTCTGACATGTCCCCACAGGCAGAATGTATTAAAACAGGCCTTGGAACTCACACATGTGTGTGCCAGCCAGGATGGAGTGGTAATGGAAGAGATTGCTCAGAGATCAACAATTGTCTGCTACCAAATTTCAGAGGGTGCCATAACAATGCTACCTGCATATACGTAGGGCCAGGTCAGGTAAGTTTTGCTCATATCTTCCTGCACTACCTCTTCCTCATTCTGTTCTGCCCAAGTTTGCTACCAAACTACTACCTTCTACATCTTCTCCCACTCCCTCTATGTGCCCTCTTCCATGCAACCCCACATACCTGGAACAGCCTCCCACATCTTGTGTCCCTCATCTCATAGGAGTAGGGGCAAGAAACCAAAGTGGTTTTCAGATGGAGCTTGATAAATTTATGAAGGGATTATATGGGGTGACTGCAATAGCGGGAGACCGGAATTGACGATACAGGAGGCCCCTTCGAATCCAATGTTCTTATGTCCCAAATGATTACCCTTCTCTCCATTTTAAATCTTGCCTTAAAATTCACTTCTTCTGAAAAAAATTAACATTAATTCTCTATCAAAAGGGACTGTACTTTATTCTTTAGTTATTTACAACTATTCAGGAAAAATTAAAAAAAAAATCCATCCACAATCCATGAATGCCAATTATCTCTCTAGGATATTTCTAGAGCACACATATATATAGTTTTTAAATCACTAATTCTTTTAAACATCCATGCAGGACACACTGAGAGACTACCCCCTCCCTGTGAATGATGCCAAAAGTTCAAACACCTCAGCTCCACCATGTGCTGGGCCTCAACTTACTGGTATTAATGTTGGGAATGCAATAGTAGGTTCAGAGTTTCAACACAAATCCTTTGTAGGTTTAATGTACAAAGGGACAGATTCTCAGCTGGTGTAAATTGGTGTCACACCATTGAAGTCAGTGGCGCTATGTGGATAAACACCATCTGGAAATCTGATCCATAGTGTTTAGAAGATCTACAATGTTTTAATCATTTTACCTTACTGCCCTGTTTTGTTGGAATGGTAGAATGACTGTGAATGTAAGAAAGGATTTCGGGGGAATGGAATTGAATGTGAACCAATAAACTCTTGTCTGGAACAAAATGGAAAGTGCCATCACCTGGTGAGTTAATTATTCTCTGAACAAATATTCAAATAACATTTCTTTTACTGTATGCATCAGTGGATAATATTTCCTCCATGGACGTGAGAATGAATGGCATTCCACTAGAGCAAATATGTCGCAGCTCCATGTTATAGGATCTTTAAAGCTCAGTTGAGTGCATGAAAATGTCCTTCAGAGTCAGGTGAAGTGATTGCTGATATCCAAATAGATCCTTATTCAGTTTTTCCACTGATATCCATTAGAGTTCCCCTGACTGAAGTCTGAGTGATAATCGAGTAAGGCCCCTACAATTTGGTCTGTTAAGAAGACTGGAATGTTGATCTCCATGTTCTCTGTCATGTCTAGACGGTTTGTTTTTGTTTTTTTGGAATATCAGCAAAACAACATGAAGACACAGAGACAACTTCTCTGCGGCTGTAAATTGGTGCAGATCCATTGAATCCATACACCATAGAATAAGTTAGTTTTGGTTACTTATAATAGCTAGTTCAGGGTTCAGTTATCCCAGTCACCTTTCAAAGATGGCAAAAGAAAAGGGGCTTAGGAGTCTCATCATCTGGTCTAACAATACATAGACTCTCAAGAACCATAGGTTCAAATTTCAGGAGGGTCTGTTCATCCATCCAAGGTGGATAAGTTTAGTATGATGCAATTTACTCTGTGGGTTTCAAATCAAGATCCAATTTGCTTTTTCCAGATAGTTAAAATACTTAGTGGCCGCTACCATTTCTTCTCTCCAGACCAGAAGCATCTGCTCAGTCAGGCATTATGGGATTCTTCAAGATGTGATATGCTACACTGCATAAAGAGATTTTTTTTTTAATTAGAACTGGTTGGATTATTTATTGCCAATAAATTATCTGATCAATTTAGCCTTTTGTTTCTGTTCCTAAGTTATCTGCAAACAGCTTTGGTGTGCATGATTTTGTAATTCACAATTGTTTGACAGTTTATGGGTTTTTCACTAACTGTTCTCTGAACTTTTCATCATTTGTGGCATGAGACTGGTTATCTAAATTGTATTTTTTCTGGTACGCTAGATGAAAAACTTTCTATGGGGAGGAAAATAAAGCTAATATCTTTTATTGGACCAACTTCTGTTGGTGAGAGAGACAAGCTCACCAACAGAAGGTTGGTCCAATAAAAGATGTTACCTCACACACCTTGTTTCTTCCATTCATGAAAGCATTTAACTCCTATTGATTTCAGTGGGACTTAAGAACATGCTTAAGTGCTTTCCAGAATACGGATACTTTACTGAATCAGGGCCTCAATGAAGGGATTTTCAGCTATTTTAACTTTGCTACATCTCAGCATTGCCTTGTATTATGTGCAAGCATGTTATATCAACAACATCTCTTGAATCCCCAGCTCTTTGACAGATTAAAATTTCTCTCCCTCTTTTTTTAAAAGGCAACTTGTCAGTTTGTGTCATCTGGTGTCTGGGACTGTGTGTGTGCAAAGGGCTATGAAGGAGATGGCATCATATGCTATGGAAGTGCAGCAGATGTAAGTAAGATAGTGGTCTTTTATCTAAGGGCAAGTTCAACTGCAGATTCTTACAGTGATGCTGGCAAGGGAGACAGTAAAGTAACTTCTGCACAACCCTAACACTGTAATGCACAACAGTGCTGACTGCAGACAGCATTCCTGCTGAGACTCTTGCAAATCCCAGAAATGAGATACTGTGTTTAAAGACAGGGGCTAGGACTTTCAAAGGGGCCTAAAGGAATTGGGCATCTAATTTCATTAAGCCTCTGAAAATGCCAGCATGGGAGCCTAATTTTCATACATTTTCACAAAATCCAACTGAGAGCTGTGGGTGCCCCGTTTATATGAAAGTCTGACCTTGAAAATTAGTCTCATCTGAACCTGTCAGTTTTGATCAGAGTTCGACTTATCATAAGTAAAATAGGAGAATAAAACAGGTCATTTAGTGAAGAAGGTAAATTTTCAACTATTTAACTGGATAGGAAAAGGAAAGGTATGTGTCAATCTTCTCAGCTTTCTTATCTTTTCTTTTTAAGCTGGCAGCAGTAAGAAACTGGGATTGGCATTACCATTTGTAGCCCAGTCTGTTCCCAGTCTCAGCACTGAAATGAACAGAAACCAAATAAATTACTGACTAAGAATCCATTACAGAACATAAAGACATTTACAGCAGGTTTGCCAATGGATTTGTAATATCGGGTTAATTTTGCAACCTTTCACATTACTTGGAAATGGCAACACAGAGCCTAAAAACTCTTCCATTCTCCAGTTGGTGGAAAACAAAATGTCTGTCTAGGGAGATATTACACTCAAGGTGAAGATCTGCAGTAAACATGCTGCATGGGAATGAGGAATCATAACTGAATAGCAGTATAGTTTTTCTGGGACTACAGTACTCTTCGGCTACTAAAAATGTCCCATTTCTGAAAATGACCCTAAAGGATTTCCATTCACTATCAGTACTACCAAAAAAAAGAAAGTTTAAAAATTGACTTGCCTTTAATGGTTATTATGTTTATTATAATGGAGCACTATCTTCACTATAGTTAAGGTTGAGAAGACCATTCTGTGTAAAGAATATCTCTTCTTAGTGCTGTAAAATCTGCACAGTTACATAGATTGCCTTGAAATTTAGTGTGCCCTGTAGAAGTGCGCGGTATGGGTAGTGATCCAAATTTGAGGTCATTTGACCAAGGGATTCCTGAGATACAGCCCCCTGAAATAAACAGCTTTTCTAAAGATATAGTCTGGCACCATTTTTTGCCCAGGCCTAGAAATCAAACATAAGGGTCTCACTCACTTGAGCATTATTATCAGAGTGTTCATAGCACCGACAAGTCCTTTTGGGGAGCAAAATTGAAAACACTATTAGCAAGAGTTTGGCTCTCCAGTGAAGCTCTTGAGTAAGAGTCAAACACCAAACAAATCACACTGAGCATGTGCAAAAAAAGGAGGCTAAGAGGATTTGTAGGCAGAAAGCTTTCACTATAGCTGGATAGTTCAAGGTGATAAGTAATAAGTCTTTTGTCCTGAACTCACCCAGCTAGTGACAGTTCTAGCCCTGCCTAGGGCGAAAAGGCATATAAAAAAATCTGCCCCTCTTTAGGAGAGAGGCTTGTTGCAGGAATAAATTTAAAGTATTTTTGTAACAAAACAAAAAAGTTAGATGTAAGAATACTTACTGTCAGGGAGGGGCATTTTAAGGGGTGGAGGAGTGGGGGTATAGGAGTGAGAGGGGTTTGGGGCTGCATCAAAGGGAGCAGGGATAAATGGGGATGGGGGAGGGACACTGGGAAAGGGACATGGGGCTGAGTGGCAGGTGGACTGGAGGAAAATAGGGGCAGCTCCAGATAGTGTATGCCAGATCTTGGGGCTCCTACCCCATCAGAGAAGTCTGAGCCCTCTCGTGTAAGATGGAATATGGGGGCCTTTCCTCTGTGGGAATGTCTGAGTCCTGCTCTCAGCCCCTTTATAATGAGCACCCACAGCTCCCATTGCAGTCTGAGGTGACATAGAATATCAGTCCTGGGTGATGGTACATGGAGATGCAGGGTTTCAATACAGAATTGTGTGGATTATGTCAAGCAGAAGGGCACTGGGGTCTTCTTGCCATGAGTATTGTTAATAGTGAGGTGGGATAGAAGAGCAGTCTGTGGATTTAATGATGAGTGGGGGAAAGTATAGGTTTAGATGGTATCCTGTGTGCATGTGTAAAGGGGTTGTAAAAGGGTATGAGGCGGCTGTTAAATTTTGCATGTGGTATTTTGTTGGAGTAGGCTCCGTGTTTGAGTGTAAAGCAAGTTCAGGGAGTGCCTGTGCATTACAGCCAATAGGCAGAGTATGAGTATGTGCATTATGGGTGATTTGGGGGCAGCACTCAAAGAAAGTTACATGGGCAAACAACCTTAATTCAGTATTTCTTTGTTTCCAGAAGTCTGAAGTTTGCTGAACTTAAATTCTGGAAGGGTGCAGACTATCACCAGGCAACATTAACTCTGTATTAATGACTTTATCATTTAATTTATATCGCGATAGTGCCTAGGTGTCCCAGTCATGGTCCATGACCCCATTGTGCTAGGTGGTGTACATACAGCACAAAAACAAAGAATTCACTTTTGATTTATTTGGGATTGAGTTAAGCCAAGATTTGTGCTTGAATATTTAGAGATAAAATGTTTAGCCCAAAGTTAGACACCTATAAATTAAATGATAAAGTCATTAACACATGCATATTTAAGCATTAGGTGGCCTGATTTTCAGAGGAGTTGAGCTTTCACAACTCCCACTGAAACCAAAGTGTACCATAGTACTAGGAAAATGTTACTGTTTGATTGCTGATGGTACAACTGCCACTGTCCTCATTCCGTATGCCTACTGAATCCCTGCATCTCCATGTAATAGCACCCAGGACAGACATTCTGTGTCACCACAGATTGCAATAGCAGCTGTAGGGGCTCATTACCTCTGAAAAGCAGACCACTTATGTAGGTCTTATAAATAACCTCTGTATTAATTCTTCTCTTTATTGGATCAGGAGTTGTCTGCTCTATCAGAGGCAGCTGGATTTAACCAATGGGTTAATGTGAGTATACTTTTGTTTGAGGAAAATACTATCCTTTTAATATATAGAAATGTGGCTCTCTAGTGATGTCCCCTGTGATGGGTTCGATCACAGGGACCCCTTTGGAACTGTCACCTGATGTGCCGAGACTACCTCTGAGCTCATTTTCTCTGTCAGTTTGGGCCTCCAGAACCCTGTCTTGTCGAGCCAGACACGCCAGTCTGCTCCAACACCAACCCAGGGTCTGAACCACGTGCCCCAAAGCTGCAGACTTAATTGAAAACAACTTAAGAAGTGCTCCTGTCTCTAGCACCCAGACACCAGCTCCCAATGGGATCCAAACCCCAAATAAATCCGTTTTACTCTGTATAAAGCTTATACAGGGTAAACTCATAAATTGTCTGCCCTCTATATAACACACAGCTGTTTGCCCCCCACAGGTATTCATTATTTACTCTGCATTAAATAATAAACAAAAGTGATGTTATTAAATATAACAAGTAGGATTTAAGTGGTTCCAAGTAATAACAGACAGAACAAAGTACGTTACCAAGCAAAATAAAACAAAAACATGCAAGTCTAAGCCTACTACATTGAGAAACTGATTACTGATGAAATCTCACGCTCAGAGATGTTCCAATAAGATTCTTTCACAGACTAGACTCCTTCCTAGTCTGGGCCCAATCCTTTCCTCTGGTACAGTTCTTGTTAGTTCCAGCAGGCATCTTAGGTGAAAAGCAAGGGATTTCACATGACTGCAGCCCCCTTAGTTCTGTTCCACCCCCTTATATATCTTTGGTACAAGGCGGGAATCTTTTGTCTCTCTGGGTCCCCACCCCTCCTTCTAAATGGAAAAGCACCAGGTTTAAGATGGATCCCAGTACCAGGTGGCATGGTCACATGTCCTATTAGATCCCAAGCCTTCATTCTTCCTGACCTGACTCACAGGAAGGCTTGCAAGTAAACAGAGCCATCTACAGTCAATTGTCCTAGTTGGTGGGAGCCATCAAGATTCTAAACCACCATTAATGGCCCACACTTTGCATAACTACAGTAGGACCTCAGAGTTATATTTTATATTCCTAGTTTCAGATACAAGAATGATACATTCATACAAATAGGATGAACACACTCAGTAGATTATAAGCTTTGTAATGATACCTTACAAGAGATCTTTTGCATGAAGCCTTTTCCAGTTACATTATATTCACACTCATTAGCATATTTTCATAAAATCATATGGAGTGCAATGTCACATTACCATCATATAATATAGGCCAAAATCTGTACTGACATGAACAGGTGAATCCGTGTATTTCATGGCAGAACCTGGTCATCTAATTCTTCTGGCATTGAGGCCAAATTCCAGCTCTAATCTCAATAGGTGCAGAAACTCCACTGGCAGAGGCACCAATGCCAGTTCTAGTATATGGGGTGGGAGGCTGCATACAGAGCACAGCTCTATGGGCATGCAGATGACATCAGATCTCACCACTGAGCAGGTCCTCCTATCTCCCCCCTTGGTGAGAAGGCTGCATAAGGTCTGGGGAGCCAATGGCTGCTGTAGACTCCACAGCAATGGGGATGGAAGGAGAATTCTCTTTCCTGCATATTTGCACAGTGCTGGATGGCATGAAAATCCTAAACTGTGAGTGGTCATCATTCTGACTATCAGAGCAAGTGAGGAGGAACCCACTATCTGCACTGACTTGATTGAACCATAGAAAATGAATGAGCAGGTAAATCACAATATAATGTCTGACTTTATAGTAGGGTTAGAAACATCAGTTTGAACAAAATGAAAACTGTTCCAAACGGATTCACATTTGCCAGATCACTTTTGTAATATATTACTTGTATTGCAATAGAACCTAGAAGTCTGACCTCCATTGTGCCAAGTGCAGTACAAACACACAGAGACACTTCCAACTCCAAAGAGCTTACAGTCTAAATATAAGACAAGAGACAATAAGTAGATACAACAAATAGATGGAGCAAGCATAGCGTAACAGACAGACCCTTAGGAACAGTGTGATAAGCAACAGTCATAACATGCCAGCTGCCTAACCATTGTCACACGTAGTGTAGCCATCACAGCAAAGTGGATTTGGAGGATAATGTGGCTAATTTAAAAATAGTTATCTGGCTGCCTATGTGACCCAGGATCTCAATAGCAGCATATTTCATTGGCAATTTTACAGACAGAAAATAACAAAACAAGAGTGGAAGTAAGACATGTAGTCATGTATTAGGAGTCAAGTATTACGAAAGTGCCGCAAGGCTTGCACAAAACTCGTCAGGTGGTAGAGGGGAGAGAGAGAAGAGTGAACACACTATGCAGGGAGCAGACCACAGAGTCTATTGAAATAGGGACATGGACATTCCTGCTCTACTTCAGAGAAACTCCACCTCTTAAATTAAAGAACTGTAGTGTTAAAAGATATTCTTCTATAACGTAGGTTCTCGAACATCATTGTACTGAGACCCCCTTCTGACAACAAAAATTACTACATGACCCCAGGAAGGGGGACCAAAGTCTGAGCCCGCCCCGAGACCATGGGTGAGGGGGGGCACCAAAGCCGAAGCCCAAAGGCTTCAGCCTCGGGCAGGGGCCTGTAATCTGAGCCCCACCGCCCAGGGCGGAAGCCCTTGGGCTTCGGCCCCTGGTGGTGGGGCTCAGGCTTCAGCCCCAGGCCTCAGCAAGTCTAACGCCAGGCCTGGCGACCCCATTAAAACAGGGTCGCAATCCACTTTGGGGTCCCAACCCACAGTTTGAGAACCAGTGTTCTATAGTGTCGCATTCCCCACTTGTCTATTAGAAGAGCCAGTGCAACTTCCATGATTTTAACATCTCAGGTTAGTAGCAAGTTCTATTCTGTATATTTGTGTGATACTCCTTCTCCCATTACATAGATGCTGTTCATGGCACTCTTATAGTTATAATCACTGCTATCTAAATAACCTACCAAAAATACTTTCAATCAATGATATGTAATGTCTTAATTATCTCCTATCAAAATCCCTAGCCTCCCCCATTCCCTTCAGTCCTTCCTCCACACCAGACCCATGGTCACACACCATCTAATATTTTATTTTTCTCAGTTCCATTGTCTTGAAACAAAAGCCAAGTATTCTGTTAAATGATAAGAAGTACAGGGTTCTTGAAGCAGGTTTGTCCCCAGATTTTACTCCAACACAGTAAGAATCCTAGTCATCTAGAAGTGGTTATCAAGACACCAGTTGTCATCGGCCTTTACTCATATCCTTTCCAGTTACAAAATAGTTTCATAAAAAGCAGGAATTAGGAAATCAAAGCACAGTGACTATCCAAGATTTTGTACAAATCAATTCTTGGCCCTTAGATACTTATTGCCCAGAAAGAGACTGTGGGCCTGACCCAAAGCCCATAAGAGTCATCAGGAATCTTTCTGCGGACTTCAGTGGGCTGGATCAGGCCCTATGGTTGCCTGAGCTGTGTTCAGATGCTTTGTTTCTGGGGTAGGGGAAAACCTCTCTCTGGATCAAATGGTGTTTGGTAAGACAAGCAAAACAGGGAGGTCTTTTTCAGGGCATATTTTTAGCTTCATACTCTGTCAGGAATGTTCATGTTTATACATTTTCATACCTGAATGCAGTTTTTTCCTACAGACTAGGAAGGAAGGAAGAGGAAGATTGCTATTGTTAGTTCTATTTTTAAATACTTGGGAGGCCCTCAGATGCTGGTGGCAATGGGGACTTGAAAGAAAGATGACACTAACAGCTAAAATTCCCAGCTATTTCGAGGGGCTGGTTTATGCATAGTCTCCTTTCTTGACACTGAAAGGACAACAAAAGTGATGAAGGAGCACCAGGAAGAGACCACAGCCAGTCTCCAGGCAACACACCAGCCAGGGCAAGGCAAAACTTGAACCTCTTGCTCCATGGAAATTTGCAAGAGTGAAATTAGCAAGCGTGAAATTTGGTGGTGGTGTTTTGTTTTATGAGAAAGGGGTTACAGTGAGGTTAATCCTTTTAATCTCTCCTCCCCAGTCTCTTCCACAGCCTAAGACCCAACACTGCTAAATGAAACATGAGTTAGCATACTCAAATATTAGCAGCCTACAGCCCCATGTTAAAACTGGGATTGTCAACAGCACCTGAAGGGAATTAGGCACCCAAATCCTATTGAAATTCATTTAGAGTTAGATGCATAACTCCGTTATGGTTCTTGGAAAAGCTCTGCTTAAATATACAATCTTTCAAATGTGAACCTTGTATTAGGCAGATTACCTATTTCATGGCTATTAACTCTATTCATCCTGTTTCTTAAATACTTCTGACTACCCTTCATGGGTACTTCAGTTGCAACTATTATCAAGCAGCAGTAGTAACCACAATATTTTGTAATTCAAATACATAAAATAAATGACACAGTAAGATAGTTGTGTAGATTGATTCGTTTCTTATGGTTATATTAAAATTGGTTCTTATCCTTATTAAGATTGTTTCTATTCTTCATACACTGACCAAAAATTCACTCTTTTGGCTTTCCACACTTTTTTTTTTGGTAGCTCTCTTTGTAGCCATTGGTTCAAATCATTACGCTACTTAATGGTTCTTCCTCCCCACACCAATCACAGGACAACTCATGTATGGAACCCTATTAAAAGGATCACCTGATGACACATAAGCATAGGACATATAATATAACACATTTTACTCTGATTCAGGAGGCTTCAATGAACACAATGCTGTCAGTGACTTCAAATCTAACCATCCTTGTGCCTTCCCTTCGAGCAATTGAAAACATGGATCAAGATGAGAAAGCCTTTTGGATGTCAAAGAATAACATTGCAACCCTACTAAAGTACGTTGATGTTTTGTTTAATATTTGATACATCTGATTCTTTAAATGAATTGGTTTTCAGTGCAAATATAATTTTGATTTGAACTCATTACAGCGAGGCAGCTTTTACATCCTTAAAGACAGTGAGTCAGATTCTCCTTTTTTTACACTGAAACGGTAATCCCATTGAAGACATTTATTATTTGTATTATTACAGTAGCGTTAAGATCCCCAGCTGAGACCAGGGCCCAACTGTGCTATGCACTGAACAAAACCCCAACTTGAGCCCAGAGTAGCTCAAAGCAGAATCTGACCTAGAAAGTTGGGAGTTGGGAATTGGTCCTGCTTTGAGCAGGGGGTTGGACTAGCTGACCTCCTGAGGTCCCTTCCAACCCTGATATTCCATGATTCTATGATTCTATGAAAGTGTGGTCTGACACACCATGTTTATTTATCTGCAAGCTGTAAGAAAATACAAACATTAGAATCCAGCTTAATTTCCTTTTAGATATCATGTATTAGTGGGAGCTTATAGACTTGCTGACCTCCAGAATTTATCATCATCTGACATGCTGGCAACATCTCTGCATAACAATTTCCTGCATCTGTCTAATGAAAATGAGGTAAGATCACTTGTCAACTAGCTTGAAATCCCATTTTGCTTTCAGTCCATCAGTAGTGCTATAATAATATTAATACACATGCATACTCTTACATTTAAAGATGCCTATAACATAGGCATTAAAGGAATTTCTCTATAACATTCTCACACCGTTGGGTTCTGACAAATACTGTACTATTTTCTCTACTGCTTTATCTAGACAGCCAGGCTGAGACACATCAATTCTTACATGTTTGTTTATTATTGGTATTGTTGTAGCAGCATGAAACCCTAAATGATCAGAGCCCCATTGTAAGGGGGTACAAATAGGAAAGCACAATCCATACCCTGAAGAGTTTACAATCTAATTTAACACAAGACACATCAAGCAAGTGTAACAAACAAACAATACTGGGGGTAGGGAGGGAGGATTAGGGTAATAGTAATACCATGCAGCTACATTGGCTGACTGCATGCACAGCTTGATGGTCCCAAATCATTTGAAAGTATCTGTAAAGATAATAAGCCAGGTGTCCTTGACCACCTCTCAACTTAGCCTTCAGAAGTTGTCTGATTTATTGTAGGAATCTATACACATTTCTGGGAATATGCAAACTCCATAGTATTTAGTCCCTTGAAGGAGTATTCTTTGGGGGAGCATATTGAAGAGGTTCCACTAGGTCAGTAAAGCTTTGGGAATGCACAGACTTCTCAAAATTACTGAGGGCTAGATGGTGTTTTTAGCATGCAAGCCGTAATAAGAGACGTGGTGCCTAGGTGCACCACCTCAGAAGAAGCACCAGGAGGTTCTGCCTCAGAGGCATAATTCCTCCTGGGGCTCCTTAAGTACATTTGGGGGGAAAGAAAGTAATTTACTTCACCTATTTAAAGAAGCCAGCGTGCTGCCTCCATGCAGCTAGTCAGTTCTGCTGGCCCGCATGTAGGGAACGGAGCTGGGCAAATAACTGATTTTTCAGTTCAGTGTCAGGTCCAAAAAAAAAAAAAAACAACCCTGGGGAAAATGTGTGGTTTAGATTGAACCGAATGTGAAATTTTTCAGAATTTGTGGTGAATCATAAAAGTTGGTTTTAGAGCAGGGATCCAAACCCGGATCTCCCACATGACGGGCAACTACCCAAACCCCTGGGTTAAATATTACCAAGGGCCAACAGTAGCAGCACCAGTACTCCCCCTCCCCTCCACCGCCCTCTCTTTCCGGGCATTTTGTGATTGACTGAAGCTATTTGTGTCAAATTCATGGATAATTTCGGGGTGACTGAAACTGCATTTTTGTCAGCTATTCATCAGAAAAATTCCACCCAGCGCTAGTAGGGAAGACAGAGCCACAATGCCACCTACTCCCCATCCAGTTTCTTCAGAGCGAATCATCAGGGGTGCAGCCCCTTTGCTCCAGGACTGAGACTCTGGGGAGCCCTAACATGGGCTAGGCTGGGGGAGGAATGTTTACTGCCTCCCATGCATCTTGCCTGACCACGTTAGACAAGGATACAATCTAGCTCTATGTAAACAGTTAGACACAATCAGCAAACTGGTGTAACTGTGATGTAAAAATAAACCCTTTATTCCTTTGCTTTCCAGAGCATCACTATTGAAGGAGCTAACATTGTAGTTGGTGATATTGCAGCCACGAATGGAATCATCCATGTTATTGATAAGGTACATGACCATGTAATTAAAAAGTTAGCACCCTGCTCTCTTCTTCCTTTGCCTCCTGAGCAAGGCAATACAACTTGTATGGGAAAACAGCCAACAGCTGTGGAAAAATATTGTATGGTACATCAATTTATTCTATTTCCAGTCCTTGCAGTTGCAAGCATGGTATATGTCAATGTATTGACATTGTTTGTATGCTTTGATTTCAGGTTCTAACACCACTCAGAGGTGTGAGTGGCACATTGCCAAAACTGCTGGCTCGCTTAGAACAGATGCCCGATTACTCCATTTTCAGGGGTTATGTTATTGCAAGTATTCATATTATTTTAAGAATACAACTAGTTCTCTGGACTGTGTGTGTTTGGGCTGGTTGCAGAATATCATTACAAGTTTTTTTGTCTTTCCACAACAGCAATATAGTCTGGCAAATGAAATAGAAGCAGCTAACACTTACACAGTTTTTGCCCCAAATAATGATGCAATTGAAAGTTACCTCAGGAATAAAAAGTCTGCCACTCTGGTATGTATTATACACAAGTCTTGTCTTATCAATTGAACACACCATTTCAGTTTCAAAACTGCTAGTGCTCCACAGAATGGGTGAAAATAGAAATGAATAAAACAGCAGGGTCTGGGTTTTGCAAAAAGTCAGTCAAGTTGGCTTAAAATAAAAAGAGGCAGGTGGGGATGGGTTTGTGAGCTATTTTCCCCCAAATAATGGGAGGTTCCAATTATCATTGTTGGGTTTTGTCCATCTCTTCTTGAAAATACCAGGTATAATGTTATTAGTAATGCTTTTCCTCAGTGGATCTCAAAGCACTTTTCAAAGGAGATACCATTATGCTTGTTTTGCAAATGGGGAAATTGAGACACAAAGAAGTGAAGTGATTTACCTGAGGTCACCCAGCAGGCCAGCAACAGAGCCAAGAATAGAACCTAGATCTCCTGAGCCCCAGTCTAGTAATCTATCTGCTAGGCAACACTGCCTGTTTTGTTCATGAACATCAACCTGCTGAAAAACTGTGCCAATACTATTTTAGTTCTCTCATGATACAATGTTATTGTTTCTATATCACTTTCCTGGAAAAATCCATAATGGGCATTTGAAAGGGTATCCCTTGAGAGCTGCCTTTTCACTTGGAAAACTGAACCTGGTTTTAAAAATATTAGTTAACTATAGGACAGTGCAGCTAGACATGGACAGCAACATCAAGATCTTCAGCCTCACAGAGTTCAGGACTAAGGGCCTGTCTGCACTTACAGTGCTGCAGCTGCACTGGGTGAAGCTGCGCCACGCTAGCATTTAGTGAAGACACTACCTACACCGACAAGAGAGCATCTCCTGTCAGCATAGGTACTTCACCTCCCCAAGAGGCGATAGTTATGTCAACAGGAGAAGCCCTCCTGTCGACATAAAGCTGTCTATACCAGGAGTTAAGTCAGTATAACCGCATCGCTCAGGGGTGTAGATTTTCCACACCCCTGAGTGGCATGGTTATACAGACATAAGTTGGTAGTGTCTGAGTCTGTAACCCTCATGAATGAAACTAAGCTCAGATGAGTTGCCCTGCCTAAGTCCACTCACACACAGGTATTTCCAGGATCAAGCTTTCAGAGTGTAAAAAGCTTAATGGGTGCTCTATTAAGTTTCTTCTTTTAAATTGAACAGAAAGTAGAGTTGGGTAATCCTGTGGATGGTTTGGGTTTTCAAAAGCCAGCCAACCAGGCTTTGGTACTGAAGAAACAGAGATGTTTAGGAGCTGAACCCCCACTGTAACTGCACCTTGAAATTTGGGTTAAGGATGGGTGAGAGGAAAAATGGTTTTAATTTTGGTCCTTCTTTAAAAGGTAATTAAACCAAGAGCAAGCAGTGACTGGTAGGTGCACACACTAGTTCAGGCTTTAGTTTTCTATGTATCCCTCATTTGTTCCTATTATTTATTCAGTCATATGGAGGTTTCATTTCTTGCTTTTCTGCCACTATATATTGTACCTGCAATTTTTCTGTGGATCTCCTCTTGGCCATAGACACTGATTGCCTGTGTCTGAGGTGCGGCTCCCTGAAAGACAGAAACAGGAAGTGGTCAGGGGACTAGCTCTGCCTGACCTTTTCCCATTTTATAGAAGCTCTACCTTAGAGGGAGGAGTTTGGAGCAGTCACAGGGCCCAATCCTTGATTTCAGTGGGAGCAAGATTTGGCCCAAATAGAACATTGGTCAGGAGGGGTATTTTTCAGCCTGCTGGTGATAGGTGGCAGGAAATATCTCCCAACGTCTTAATTGATGATGAATGAGATTTAATGTTCCCATCCCAAGTGCCCAGTTAAGGGAGATCAGATATCTGAAAACAAAACAGTAGGACTTCTACCCGGTGGGAATTCAAAATGGACACTACATTACTGCATGAAAAAAGCCAAGTGACATAGCGAAATTTACAAATGTCGTGGTTTGGAGTCATTTCTTTCACTAGAGTGAATCTATGAAAGACCTAAAGAGCATGACATGGCATGAATTTTAAGATGTAAATTGGAAGAACATTCTAAACGTGTTCCACAGATATTAGCCTTCTGGGCAGGTGATAGCAGGGTGGGGAAATAGATTGGCTTCCTGAAAAGCAAAATAGGCTTGCTAAAAGTGGAACATCTAAAGTAAGACTTTCAAATGGGAATTAGGTTCTTAAGTCCCTTAGGCTACGTCTATGCTGCAAAAAAAAAAAAAAAAAAACAACAACAACAAACCACCATTTCAGAGCCTGGATCAACTGACTTGGGCTTGTGGGGCTCATACTACAGGGCTAACAATAGCACTGTAGACTTCCCCACTCAGGCTGGAGCCCAGGTTCTGAGATCCTTTCCCCACACTGGGTTTCAGAGCCAGACTTTTACACTGCTATTTTTAGCCCCATAGCATGAGCTTGAGTCAGTGGACCTGGGCTATGAGACATGCTGCCGCTCATCTTTATTTTCAGTGTAGATGTAGCCCCAAGTGCTCTTGAAAATTATTCCCCTGATCCCACTAGTCCATTGCAAGCAGGACAGGCCACTAAAACTAACTAAAACAAAGCATTACTGACCATACAAAATGTAAGTTACAAAGTAACTCCAGCAAGATGGGGAAAGACCTGAAGCCACACAAAAACCTATGCTTTTTAAAATCAGAAAACAACTTGACCATTTTTATGAAAAAATGTTCAATCCACCAATAACATGCAGAAAGCTGTGTGAAGGAAAGTCTCAGCTTTCATTTATAAAGTATTGATCTAACCTTTTTCCTGGTGGAGATAACCTTGAAAATGTAAACTGATATAAATCAGTGCCAACAGATAGCTGAGGTTGAAAGGAACAAGCTGCTTATCTTCACTTCTGCAGCAGGAAACTGGGGAGGGTGGGGAAGAGACCTAAAACTTGAAGATGACACCAAGCTGGGAGGGGTTACAAGCACTTTGGAGGACAGGATAGAATTCAAAACAGTGTTGAAAAATTGGAGAATTGGTCTGAACTTCAACAAGATGAAATTCAATAAAGACTTGTGCAAAGTACTACACTTAGGAAGGAAAAAAAATCAAATGCACAACTACAAAATGGGGAATAACTGGCTAGGTGGCAGTACTGCTAAAACGGATCTGGGAGTTATAGTGGATCACAAATTGAATATGAGTCAACAGTGTGATGCAGTTGCAAAAAAGACTAATATCATTCTGGGGTGTACTAGCAGGAATGTTGTAGGTAAGAGGAGGTAATTGTTGCACTCTATTAAGCACTGGTGAGGCCTCCGCTGGAGTATTGTGTCTAATTATGGCATCACACTTTAGGAAAGATGTGGACAACTTGGAGAGAGTCCAGAGGAGATCAACAAAAATGATAGAAGGTTTAGAAAATCTGTCATACGAGGAAAGGTTAAAAAACACTGGGCATATTTAGTCATGAGAAAAGACGACTGAGGCGGGGACCTGATCCCAGTCTTCAAATATGTTAAGGGCTGTTATACAGAGGATGGCAATCAATTGTTCTCTAGGTTCACTGAAGGTAGGACAAGTAGTAATAGACTTAGTCTGCAGCAAAGGTGATTTAGGTTAGATATTAGGAAAAGCTTTCTAAGTACAAGGAGAGTTACACACTGGAATAGGCTTCCAAAGGAGGTTGTGGAATCCCTATCATTGGAGGCTTTTAAGAACAGGTTGGACAAACATATGTCAGGGATGGTCTAGGTCAGGGGTTCTCAAACCGGGGGTCGTGACCCGTCAGGGGGTCCCAAGGTTATTATGTGGGGGGGGTCGCGATCTGTCAACTTCCACCCTCAAACCATGCTTTGCCTCCAGCATTTATAATAGTGTTAAACATAAAAATTGTGTTTTTAATTTATAAGGGGGAGTCTCACTCAGAGGTTTGCTGTGTGAAAGGGGTCACCAATGCGAAAGTTTGAGAACCACTGGTCTAGGTTTACTTGGTCCTGCCTCAGCACAGGGGGCTGGACTTGATGACTTCTCGAGGTCTCTTCCAGCCCTACCTTTCTAGGATTCTATAGAGAGCTCCTCCACATGCAGGATTTTGTGTAAAATGAATTAGTTAAGATTGGGGTATAGCCCAATAATCAATCTTGCTAATCTCCCCAAAATCTGTTGGCCAGCCTGGTGCACAGAAATATAGCAATTGTCATAGTGGCTCAGACTACAGTAGTTTGCTTCCACCGGTGGCCAATACCAGATGCTGAAGGAGAAAGTACAAGAAACTCCATAATAGACAATATGGAATAACCTGTCCATGCGGCAGTTTCTTCCTATACCCTGGTAGTCAGTAGGTGTCCCCAGCATAAGGGCCCATAACCTGTCTACATGTTTGTGCTTTGTTATTAGAGAGACGAGGTAGAGGAGGTAATATCTTTGAATGGACCAACTTACCTATTAAGTATTAAGATATTACCTTGCCCACTTTGTCTCTCTAATATCCTGGGACCAACTCAGCTACAACACTGCAAACAATATGCTATGTTATGTAACTCATTGGGGGATGGGACAAGTATTTCACCCAAACCATTTGCCGACTAAGCTGAACATCTTGTGAGGGCACCTTTGTTAAAACGTTGGCAGCACATCACTGGTTTATCCCCCATGTCTTGCAGGACGAGGACCAAATCCGATACCACATTGTGTTGGAGGAAAAGCTCTTGAAGAACGACATGCACAATGGCATGCACAGGGAGACCATGCTCGGGTTTTCCTATCAAGTGGGATTCTTCCTGCACAACGGCCAGGTGCTGCTATCTGTGTTTAAATGTAGAAACATGTTTTCTTCACTACAGGAATGAAACTTCTATCTTAAATTGAAATGCAGGCAACAAGAGCTATTGACTCATCGTTGCCTTCTGACACCTTAATATTACAAGAGATTCCACTCAAACGTGCTGTTGAGTCTCCAGACAGTCTAGACAAAGCCTGCTTAGTTCAAAGTCACACTGGAAGGGACCTTGGACTGGATTTAAATTATGCTGTTCAGATTTAGCATCTGATTTTACAAGACAGTATGATGGTCTCACACATCTGGTGACTAGAGACCTGCATTGCAAAGCAATCATTAATCCTTTTTCTAACAGTTTTTCTGGAAACTCTTTTAATTTTAAAAATAGTAGTAATATTGATTTGTAGTTCTATAATCCCTTGCATCCCAGGAGCTCAAAGCATTTTGCAGTATTAGTGAATTTACCCTCACAACACCCTTTCTATTCATGAGGAACCTAAGGGA